ATCACAAGGCTCCTTAAAGCAGGGAGGCGGGGCGGGGGTTGGTCAGAGTTAGAGAAGCCACGGGGATGGGAGCCAAGGAGCCTGGGCAGCCTCTAGACCTGGAAAAGGCAAGGAACAGACTCTCCTCAGAGCCTCCAGAAGGAATCAACCCTACCGACATCTTGATTTGGGGACTACCGACCTCCAGAAAGGCAAGGTCAGGAGTTTGTGTTTTAAGCCGTGAAGTTGGTGGTGATTTGTTATGGCAACAATAGGAAACTCATACAAATAGTAACACTGACTCTCGCCTGGCTACCCTGTGCGTGCCAGCCACTGCGTGGGATCCTTGTATGGAACGAAACCTCCAGTGTTGAAATCCGAACCCCCCCAGGGCCACGGTGTTAGGAGGTGGGGCCTTCGGGAGGTGATCAGGCCCTGAGGGTAGAGGCCAGTCCCCAAGAAGGGACGAGGGCCTTTATAAAAGCCCGCTCTCGGTCCACCACGCGAGGGTACAACCCAGAGGCGGGCCTCGCAGAACCTGATTCTACTTCCACCCTGGTCTCCACATGCAGCCTCCACGACTGTGAGCGATCGAGTTCTGTTGTTTGGAAACCACCCGACTGTGGGAGCTCGTCGACGGCAGTCCAGACTAAGACAGCCGCTCACGGTATTCTGCGAAGCAGGCGCTGTTATCTTCGTCGTGCCCACTAGGAAAGGAGGCCTCTGAGAGGCGACGTGACCTCCCCGGGTCACGCAGCTGGTTTCCACAGAGCCGGGCTGCAAACCCCGTTCTCCCTGATTCCAACGCCTACATTGTTCCCACCAAGCCCGTCGCCTCTCAGCTGCTCCGCCCGCCCGGGCTCTGGTTTTCTCCATTTGTCACACAAATCGATTTGATTAGGTCAGCGCTTTGTTGCTCTGTGCCTCGTTGATAGGTGTTCTGGGCGAGTTGGGGTGGCGGGGGGGGGGGGGGGGCGCAGTCAGAGGTACAACGCCTTTGGAAGGGCCGAGTTAAAGCCCGAACTCCTTTCCTGCTTTTTGCTGTTGACCTGATCAGGGCCTCGAAGAGCTGAGGAACCCCTGTGACTGTTCAGAGGGTGGACGTCAGGGGCTCCCCGGGGGCTCGTCGGTTACGCGCCCAACTCTTGGTCTCGGCTCAGGTCACGATCCCACGGTTGGGGAGTTTGAGCCTCATGTTGGGCTCTGTGCGGACCGTGCAGAGCCTGCTTGGGATTCTCTCTCTCTCCCTCCCTCTCTGCCCTTCCCCCCTCCTCTCTCTCTCTCTCAAAATAAATAAACTTAAAAAAAGCTAAAATGTGGACTGCATGTGCAGCATTTCCTAACTGACCCCTGAGACCATTTGGAGCGGACCACTGCTCTGGACTAATTCTGGGGACATCTCACTCTGAAATGCTGAACGACACCATCTTGAAGTTCTCTCTTTCATTTATAAAGGATCAGGATTCTAGGAGTGTCAACTCACTGTGAGCAGGTCTGAGACCGGTCCCCCCTGGTCCCCACATTGTCAAATCCTCCTGAGAGGGGGGGGCCCTCCACGTGACATTCCTGTGGCCACTGTAACAAATGGCCACAAACATGCAGCTTAAAGCCAACTGTTATCGCCTTATGGCCTGGGAGGTAGGAAGCCTCTCTGGGCTAAAAGCAAGGTGTGGCCAGGGCTGTTCCTTGTGGAGGCTGGGGGATTTCCCTGCGCTTTCCAGCTTCTGGAGGCCGCCCACGTTCCTTGGCTCGTGACCCCTTTCTCATTTTCAGAGTTGGCAATAGCAGGGGTGGGGCCATTCTCGCCGTGTCCCCTGGATGCCACCCTGCCTCCCTTTTCCACTGCTAAGGGTCCTGTGGTTACGTGGGATCTACTCCAGGCCAGGCTCCCTATGGTAAGGTCAGCTGATTAGCAACCTTAATCCCGCCCCCACCCCCCCTCCACTTGCCACATAATATACCTGCACAAGTTCTGGGGACTGGGAGGGGCACACCTTTCGGGGCCTCAACTCCTGTCTCAACACTGATCTCAGCACAGTAATGACTCTCGTTTACGGTGCTGGTTATCTTCTCACTGTGGCTCTTGGGGGCGGGGGCTAGCATCACCCCCACTTTATAAGAAACTGAGGCTCGACGGTGTGGATCCCCCTGCCAGGGGCCACTGGGTGGGAAAGGTGCCCAGCTGGGACTCGAGCCTCAAGAGTCCTTACTCTTGGCCGCCACGGGAGGTCGGGCACCCACCGCGGGCCACCTCCCTGCCGGAGACTCACAGCCTCGGGCTGTTTCACACAGAGTGACAGCCGGGACCGTCCGGGGGGCTCGATGCTGCCACTTGCACAGGAAGTCTGGGCCTCCTCCGCCTGGCACCCGGAAGGATCCCACACGAGAGTGCCTGGTGCAGGGAACCAATTCAGGCCTCACCGGCCGGGTCTGTAGAAAGGGGTGGCCGGTGGCCCATGGGGCAGAGCTGCACCTGGCGGCTGCCAGTGGGCTGGTGATTCTCCCGGCGGCACGGTAACGCCTAGGACCACACCCGAAATCGGAACCCGTCAGCAAACTTGCATCTGCGGAGTGCCTGGGACGGGCACTCCCACACGGCTTTGCTCCCATAATCCCCCAAAGCAACCTCTGAGACTGATAACCCCGTCATTCTTGTTGCACAGCCGGGGAAACTGAGGCCCAGGCGACGGTACGAAGAGCGCCCATTTTCATTCGTGCACTTTGAGGCTGACTATGTGCCCCGAGCAGGGTGTTGGGGACACAGCAGTGGGGAGGCAGGTTGTAAACAGCACGCAGACAAGATACTGAGATAAGTGACAAGTGTCACGGGGGAGAGAAGTAGGTCAAGGCAGGAGGAGTCTTGCAGGCAGGGTGGCTGGCAGTGTTGTGGGGCATGGCTACCATATGCTTGGCACCGTCTAGGCCCGTTCCAGGAATCTTGTCACCAGAATGGCGTCCGGGAACCACAGCCCCCCTGCAACGCAGGTCTCCCTTGTTTCTCAGGCGAGGTGGGCGGGTCGGGGAGTATCCTTACTGAGGACCACACGGCGTGCAGTGGCCAAGGTAGGATCAGAACCCAGGGCTGCGAGCACCCAAGGCAGGTGTGGTCATAACCCCCACACTTGCCCCCAGGGGGTGGGGCCACGGGGCTATAAGGGGCAGATCTGTGGTCTCAGTGCTACACCAAAGACACCCCGGGGGCTTCCCTTGTTTGCCGAGCAAGAGGCGGGGGGAGCAGGTGCCCCCCAGCATGGGCAGAGAAGAGCCAGCCAAGGAGGTTTGTTTTTAGTCTAAAAACCTGAGTTTGGCCATAAACGTGCACATGGAAATGCACATCTTCATGTGAATATTTTTCTATTTATTTTTTACTTATTTAAAAAAATTGTTTAATGTTTTTATTTGTTTTTGAGAGAGAGAGAGAGAGAGAGACAGACAGAGAGCAAGTGGGGAAGGGGCAGAGAGAGGGGGAGACACAGAATCCAAAGCAGCTCCAGGCTCCGAGCTGTCAGCACAGAGCCTGACACGGGGCTCGAACTCACGGCCTGAGCCGAAGTCGAACACTTAATCCACTGAGCCACCCAGGCGCCCCGTGAATATTTTTTTTTTTAAGTTTATTTATTTATTTTGAGAGACAGAGTGGATGGGAGGGGCAGAGAGAGAGGGAGAGAGAGGGAATCCCAAGCGGGCTCCACGCTGTCAGTGCACAGCCCAACAAGGGGCTTGAACTCACACACCGTGAGATCATGACCTGAGTGGGAGTAGGACGCTTACCCGACTGAGCCTCCCAGGCGCCCCTCCACGTGCACACGTTTAGCCTTAGAAATCCGCCTACCTTCCCCGGCCACAGGAGGTGGCCTTCCTATGCTGGCCTGGAACCCCAACACGTCCCCCACGTGCATGCAGCTGTTGGACTTCTGATTTTTAGAAAGATTCGTGTTACAGTGACACGAACTTCCTAAGGAGCATCCCGCCCCCTCCCCTGGCCTCACAACACCCGAGCGTGAAAAGATACAACCTCTGGGCCCAGCCAAGGCGAAGTCTGTGCAGAAATTCCCCTTCGTGCCGAACACAGAGGCCAGAGGTGGGTCCTAAGGCAGGAGCACTTCCTGGCCTCTGGGAGACGGAGATGGGGACACTCAGTGGAGCCCTACTGCCCCCTAGAGGGAGAGATTCTGGAGGCCCAGCTGGGGATCCGCAGGCCTGGAGCCTAGGCCCAGGGCTCTCCCCACGTGCACCCCCCCGGCCAGAGCAGCTCCCTGGGGCTTCTCTGTCCCTTCTCTGGGTCTCGCCTCAGGACAAGGTTAGCCTGACCTCAGTCCACAATCTGCTGAGGCGACAAGGTGTAGGAGCCCGGAGCCTTGCTGGCCGAGTCCGTCCCTGGATTGTGGGGTGAATCACAAGGACTCAGCCTGCTCTGCCCAAAGTAGTGACTGGAGTCACAGGCACTTCGGCCAGCCTCTCCAAAGGTTTTAAATCCCCGAGCCCTGAATAGAATATGACATCTCATGCCTCCTAGTCTCATTCAGACAAAACCCAAAGTGAAGCTGTTATAAGAGTGAGGAAGCCCAAGGCGTTTCAGAGTGTTACACGATCCCTACTTTGATGTCTTTTTCATTCTTAAAAATAAATATCCCTCAAATGATTGACAAAATGTGGGTGCATCCCTCTGCTCATGTGCTAATAACGTTAACATTTAAGTACTGGATTATGAGGATTAGCTATCACTCACTGGGCAGGTTCTAGGAACCCTGAAGTTCTTTCTGAGGGCTCTTCCTGGGCTCGCTCACCCGGTCCTCAGGACGGCTCACCAACGACGTGTTGTCACCATCAACATTTTACATAAGAGGAAACTGAGGCACAGAGAGATTAGGCAACTCGGCCGAGATGGCACAGTTAAGGAGAGAGGGGGAGGTTCCAAAAAGGTCCTCATCAGCATCCAGCGCCCAGCTTACGGGCCCCATCTTCTGAGACGCCTTCCCTGCCCTCCCTGGTTAGAGCTGGCCCACCCCACCCCACCCTTACTGGCCTTGCCTCTCCCTTGTTCCCTTGGCAGCTCTCCCTGCAACGTGCAGTTGTGTTTCTGGTTTTCTGGGTCTGCCTCCCCCACTGCAAGGTCAGCTCCGTGAGGGCGGGCACGGAATCTGCTGGGATGGTTTCAGCTCCCCGTGACTGGCCCTGGAACATGCTGGGCGCTCCCTCCATATCTGTGGAATGAATGAATGAATGAATGAATGAGTGAACAAAGATGTACAGTTTCTATTTTCAAGAAGCTGCCACCGAATGGGGGAAAATTGACCTTACTGACTGTAGTAGGTTGAAGTGTGCCCCCCACCTCAAAACGCCCACCGGGAACATGTGAACACTACATTATTTGAAAAAAGGGCCTCTGGGGATATAATTAGGTCAGTGGTCTCAAGACGAGATCATCTTGGATAATTTGGGGGGGGGGGGCCGAAATCCAATGACAAGAGTCCTCACCAGAAGAGGGAAAGACTCAGAAAAGGCTGTGGAGATGTAGGCAGAGAGCGGAGCTCCACGGCCACCAGCAGCTGGAGAAAATACTGGATTCCTCCCTGGAGCCTTTGGGAGGAAGGTCGGCCCTCCTGACACCTTGACTGTGGACTTCTGCCTCCAGATCTGTGAGGGAGTAAATTTTGTTAAAAAAAAAAAATTGTTTTTAACGTTAAATTATTATTGAGAGACGGAGACAGACAGACCATGAACGTGGGAGGGGCAGAGAGAGGGGAGAGACCCAGAATCCGAAGCAGGCTCCAGGCTCTGAGCCGTCCGCACAGAGCCTGAGGCGGGGTTCGAACTCACAAACCGTGAGATCACAACCTGAGCCGAAGTCGGACGCGTAACCGACTGAGCCACCCAGACGCCCCTAAATTTTGTTTCATAAAACACAGATTGTTGTTTTAAGCCACTCGGTTTGTGGCACTTTGTTACGGCGTAGCCCTGGGAAGCTAACACACTGACCCACCACGGATGGTTTATCAATTGGCAAACATCCCGCACAAAAGCTCCCAAAATGGGCACCAGGAGGCGCCATTCCAGAAGCTGCTCGTGCAGGAGGCGTGGCCAGCTCCTCCCTCTGCCTTCCAGGCACCTGCTGTTCACCGGGAGATTGAGATGCCAGGCCTCCCTCCAGCATCCTCGTTGCGACTCTCATTAGACCGTCACTGTCTATTCTGACCTAGGTTTCGGATTTTCTAGAATTCCCTTTCCCTCCGCTCCAACCCCTGCCAATGGAGCAGCGCCCTCCCACACAGGTGCACAGGTGCTCTCTTGGCTCCCGCCCGGGTCCTTCCCTTCCACCCTGTGACTCCAAAGCCGCCTCCCACCGGGAGCTTTCCTTAACCCCCCCACTTGGAGCCGATTTCTACCCCCCGTGTCTCCTCTAGGCTGTGAACTCCTGGGAAATCAAGAACCACAGAGCAGAGGCATAGCAAGAAATGAAAACAGAGACCCTCGCCCTTGGTCAACCACCCCTCTCTGCTGCCCCCCACCCTCATGCACCCAACGGGCCCGCCTCCCGCTTCCCTCCTGTCAACGCTGCCTCTGATCCCACTTATGCCCTGCTCTTGGCCTGTGACCTCCCTCTGCCACACCCACCCTGGGTTCACATTTTCTGCCTCGTGGCTCCGTGCTCCTGACTCCACCCACATAACCATCCTGACCGAGTGGATCAAGCGCACTGACCTTCCCCCTTGACCTTCCGGGCTCCTGAGCCATGCCCGACAATGCCACTCAGACCTGGGGCTTCAAGAAGATCCCCCTGATCGGAGATGTCAGTACGAAGTGCGGTCACCCATGCCCCTCCCACCAAAACCACGTGGCCCGTGATTTTAGTCAATAATACTGGCCGGTGTCCTGTGTGATGCGGGCAATGACAATCGTCATCATCGCTCCCAGCCGGGCCGGGCCAATACGCTTCCGGGGGCACGACCGGGATGCACCCCCCACTTCCCTTCGGGCCCGCGCGCCCCCCCGAGAGCCCCGGGAAGGCCCCGGGCCCGAGCACACACCCAGTCCTGGCCCTCGTCCACTCAGTGTCCTTTCTCATTCTGAGTCGGTTTCTGTGGTGCTGGAAGATGTTTTCAAAATGATGCGAGCATATTTCTGAGGTCAGCTCCTAATCAAAAACGACTCCCAGACGGTGCCCTGGTTTAAAAAGAAAGAAAGAAATGAAGTGAGTCATCATCCAAACCATCTGAATGAAACAAAGACACAACAAACTCCGCTTTCCTCCTGCGCCAGAAGAGATGAGCTCAGCCTTGCAGAGAGGCAGCTGGAGGGAATTAACGGGGATCTCCGGCTCCCCGAGATAGCGGGGACCGCACAGCCGACCGGGCCGTGACTCACGGCCAGAACCACGGGGATACGGCCACCCCGGGCGGCCTGGACCCCTCGGAGGGGCCTGCGGCAGGGGCTGCGGCTCCCAAGGGGGTCCTGGGGACCCACGCCGATGGGGCGGCAGGGCCGCAGAGACCCAGGAGTGACCATGGAGAGACCCCAAAGCTGGGGCGATTCCACCCCACACTGGCCGCGGGGGAGCTAGGGGATTCTGCTAGACCGGGTTTCACAAAGTCCCAGACGCCCCCGGTGGTGATTCTCTTTGCAATGTCAGTGCCCCTCCTCCCGATTCTCCCTGGGCCCCTCTTCCCACACCCCTCCCTCTGGGGGAGAACAGCCATTTCCCCGGGGAATCCTGGGGCTCCCACTGAAATGATGAGTCTGCCAAGATCCTGAACTCAGAAGACTCCACCAGACTGACGTTCCCCCAGATTTGGGAGGGAGGCGTGACTGGACAGAACTGAGGGGTCAGGCCAAGCTGGCTGCTAGCAGTGGGCCCCAGACCCGCCGTAACCGTCATTGCAAAATGTGTGACTTCCAATCAGGACGGTCAAGACGGCCCGCTGCCCTTAGAGAAGTAGGTTTTTTGAAAACGGAAGTGACTTCTCAAATGATAGCAGTAACAGATGCACGTGTACACGTGATAACACTTCTTTTCAATAATGAAAGTATTAGCCGCGAACATGAAGACGTTAGTATCTCAGGATGTTAAGATCAAGGGGGAGAAAAGTGTAACACAGAGTCTCGTTCTACCAGAGGACTCGCCAGCCCCTTCCCCGGTGCTGATAGTTCTTGGTTTGGCTTTTCTAGTTTTTCTGATGGTAAAGTTTACCTTGAACGCTACGTTTACTTCTACTTAATCCTCCCATTGAAAGATGAGGGAATCGGGGCATCTGGGTGGCTCAATCGGTTAAGCGTCTGATTCTTGGTTTCCGCTCAGGTCACGATCTCATGGTTTGTGAGATCGAGCCGCGCATCTGGCTCTGGACTGACAGCGTGGAGTCTGCTTGGAATGTTCTCTCTCCCTTTCTCTCTCTCTCTCAGGAGGTTGACCTAGATCCTTGAGCAGTTGTTTTCGTAAAGAGTACAAGGATTGTAAATGTTTGAATTCTGGAATGTCTAAGAATATCTTAATTTTGTTTAGCCATATGCAAGGAACTCTAGATCGAAAATCTTTAGCCCTCGGATCATGGTAGGCCTAGCTTCATCTTCTGGCATCCACACAGGCGACAGATCTGGCGTTCATCTGATTCTTCGTCTTTTGTGGTTTGACACTCTATTTCCCACAGCTTGGATGGTAGCCTCTTTACTCTTAAAGTTTTTTGTTTTTTTTTTAACGTTTTTTATTTATTTTTGAGACAGGAAGAGACAGAGCATGAACGGGGGAGGGGCAGAGAGAGAGGGAGACACAGAATCGGAAACGGGCTCCAGGCTCCGAGCCATCAGCCCAGAGCCCGACGCGGAGCTCGAACTCACGGACCGCGAGATCGTGACCTGGCTGAAGTCGGACGCCCAACCGAGTGAGCCACCCAGGCGCCCCTACTCTTAAAGTTTTAAAACTTCCCCTGATGCCGGTAGGTATGCATTGTAAATGGAACCTGGTGGAACACGTAACCTGCAGACCTTAAGTCTTCCCCGGAGTGCGGTGAAATGTTCTTCTCGTTTATTATTTCCTCCCCACCATTCTCTCCCTTCTTTGGAAATTCCCATTTCACAGGGGTTGGAAATCCTGGATTTATCCCCTCCCCTCTGTCTCAACTTTTCTCATATCTTCTAGTGTTCTCCCTTTACATTCTAGGCCATTTCTTTGATCCTGGACTCCAGATACTAACTTTGTCATCGGCTAGATCTGTCTTAGTTTTCAGCCCGCTCGTTGAAATTTTTGAGCACGATCAGATTCGTCTCATTTTCTTCTCCTCTGACTACTCCATTTTCACACCAACCTACTCTTGTTGAGGCAAACGTCTCTCAAATCCTCTTAGACACAAACTAGAATGAAATCTTTGTTCTCCCCTTCCCTGGATTATCTCTGCTTGCTCCAGAGTGAAGTATTCCGTTCATCCACTGTGATCCTTCCCTTTTGTGATATTTGTTTTCCCCACGTGCCTTGAGATTCCTCTGAATGTTGGCTTCCATTTACAGATAAAGGATCAAGTTGGTTAATGTCTGTAAGAGGCCTGGTTTTCCTCTGAAGCTCCAACTGGTTTCCTTTCCCAGTGGGTCTCTCCTGGGAAGGGTGGGACAAGCCATGGGCTGTGCCTACCTGGGCAGGGCACGACCTCCCGCAAGCCTCCCTCTAAGGTACAAGGGCAGAAAGCCAACAGGCAGGCAAAGGAGATTCCAGCTTGTCACAGCAAAGAGGATTAAACAAACAGGAGTTCGTTTTTCTCCAGTAGAAGGAGGTCTGAGGGCAGGCAGTCGGCAGACGTCACGGTGGCTCAGTGATACTGATCAAGATGCCCACTTTTCGTTGTTTGCCAGATGGCTGGCTGCCACACCTTGAGCTTCTGGTAGGAAAAGGAAGACCAAGGAAGCCAGAAGGGAGGGCATTTATATCAGGAAACTGAAAGCCACTCCAGAAATCCCCAACAGATTCCTGTGCACATTCGTGGTCTCAAGGGAGCCTGGGAGATCAAACTTTTTAGCCAAGTACTTTGCGATCTTGAACAAACCAGGGTTCCTCTTAGGAACAAAGAACGAGGGTCATCTGGGTGGCTCAGTCGGTGAAGCGTCCGACTTTTGACTCCCACTCCAGTCATGATCTCACAGTTCGCGGGATCGAGCCCCGTGTTGGGCTCTGCACTGACAGGGCAGAGCCTGCTTGGGATTCTCTCTCTGCCCCTCCCCTGCTCACGCTCACCTCCTCTCTCTCTCTCTCTCAAAATAAATAAGTAAGCATTAAACAAAAGTGTAAAACTTTAAAAAAAAAAAAGGAAGAAGGAAATCAGATGCTGGGTAGGCTACCTACCAACCGTGTGTACGAGGGGTGTTTCCACATCCTTCCCCCTGGGGGCGCTGCTTAGTGTTTCCACGAGCCCCATGCCCATGACAGAGATCTCAATTTTCTCTTCTCTCTCAGCCCTGTAGCAGAGATCGCTATCTGTCCCCTACTATTGATTCCCTCCCTCCCTTTTAGTATCAGAACTCCTACTGTTACTGGACAACTGGCCACCTAAAACAGCCACGCTTCTCAACCTTCTGTTGCAACTGCTTGTGCCTGGGGGGCCAGGTCCCAGACAATGGAATTGTGGCGGAAGTGAAGGATTCAACTTTTGGGTGTGCTCATAGAGGGAAAAGAGGGGTGGACTCTCCCCTTCGCTCCTTCCCATTGGCTAGGCTGCAGATGTGGTGGAGAACTTTCCAGAACACCTCCGAGGATGGTGAAACATCAACGCGGAGAGGGTGAGGACCTGAGGTAATGGACCCCTCCTTAGTTCTGGCAAGAGATTCATCTTGTTTTAGCCACTGCTGTTGGGCCTTTGCTGCAAACGTTCAGTCCAAACAGCCACCTTAAAGATACCTTCTCAGTCCCATTAAAAAAAAAAAAAAAATCACCATCACCAGTTGTGGACAGAGTAGTAGTCCCTGAGATGTCCACATTCGAATCCCCGGAAACTATGAATATGTTCTAAGCCTGAGATGGCAAAAGGGGCTTCATGGATGTGATGCAGGATTTTGCGATGGACAATTCCCCTGAGTGACCTGGGGCGGCCCGGTGTCATCTCAAGGGTCCGCAGAAAGGGGGCGACAAGAGGGTCAGAGTCAGAGGAGGAGATGTGGTGACAGCGGCAGAGGTCAGAGACAGAGCTTTCAAGATGCTGCCGGCTTTGAAGAGGGAGGAAGGAGCCACAACCCAAGAACGCAGCTTCTAGAAGCTGGACAAAGCAAGGGAATGGAGTCCCTCTGGGAACATGTAGGAGGAACTCAGTCTTTCTGACACCTTGACTTCAGGATTTCTGAACTCCAGAACCGTAAGATACTGAATCGGTGCCGTTTTAAGCCATTACGTGTGTGGTAGTTTGTCACCACAGCAAGAAGAAACTAATACGCTAGTGAGAGACACCGTCCAGGAGAACGTAAGAGGCGCCATTCGTGGAGCGTTTCATCCGGGCCTCATCATGCAGACGCGTAGGGCGAATGACTCCACTCAATCCTCACAACCCTCCCATCGCGTCCATCTTACAGAAGACGCGGAGATTCAGAGAGGTGACGTAAGCCATCCGAGGTCACACAGTCAGTTAAGTGGCAGAGCCCGGTGCTCGTCTGCCATCATCCCACCGAAACGTCAAGAAGGGTCAGAAACGTGGCTCGAAACCCGTGCCCTGCCCGCCACCCTGGGAAGTAATGCCTTATTTTTTTCCAACTTGTCAGGATATCCTGCTCATCCCCTAAACCTCTCTCTTCTGGTTTAAAATAGGCTTTGCTCTACTGCAGTTCGGAGGCTCAGAGACCCCTCATTTGCGGCTGCCCATAAGCACACCACGGGCCTCCTCCCTTTGTCTGGAGGAACAGTTCTCCTGTGACGACACAAGCATGAGTCAGGGTGCTGGCGGGGACCTGGGGTGAGGGTCCTCCCAA